ACTGCCTGCTCTGCCGCTCCTGCGGGGCTTGCGAGCTGCCCCCAGCAAGGCACAGCTCTGCCGTGGGATCCCTGGGAGTGCTGAGCCTTTCATGGGGGTGGGCACTCTCCTCTCAGAGTGCTTTGCTTCTCTCTGGGAGGGGTGGTGTCCTGCTCCCTCCATCACAGCTCCATCTCTGGGGTGGGACAGAGAAGGGAATGTCGATCTGCCCTCTGAAACAGTGCTTCCCTGTCCCTGTACGAGTTCAGTTGTTTGTGTGGTTTTTTTTTTTTTTTATTTTATTTTATGAGTAATTTTTGTGTGAAGTCATTTTCAGGGCAGAAGGAGCAAGAGTGCAGGGCAGATGGAAAATGCCTGATGGACACTGCAGCTCTCCTGACTCTGCTCTAAGCCACAGAGAGCTGAGCCCTTTTGCCTGTCATGTCTCAAGACTCTTCATATTTTCAGTCATCAAAATGAGGATTTCTACCCCTCAACTTAACACTCACCATCATTGACGGTGTAAAATAAAAACATAGACAAAATTATTATAAGGACATGCTAAGCCTCTGCTCTACTTCCCACACTTCGGAGAGTCATGAGTGCAGATTTTAAACTTTTCCATTACAGGGGGATTACATCTGACACCCCTTGTGACCGTGGGAGCTGTCACAAATTCGCTCCCATGTACCCACTGCAGCAGAGCAGGGCTGACTCCTCAGCAGCACACGGGCAGAGGTCCCTCTCCTCACACCACACTCAGCCAGCATCAACCAGAGAAAGGAAATGCATTTCATCTGGGGTGACTGCTATGAAAAATAGAGTGGTTTGGCTCACAAAAGTCTCTCCTAATTTTTCCCTGTCCTTTCTGTTTTTGAACAGAGTCCCCGTGCCAAGAAACAGCAAATGCCCAACAGCAGCTCCATCAACCACTTCCTCCTCCTGGCATTCGCAGACACACAGGAGCTGCAGCTCTTGACCTTCGGGCTCTTCCTGGGCATCTACCTGGCTGCCCTCCTGGGAAACGTCCTCATCATCACCGCCATCGCCTGCAACCACCGCCTCCACACCCCCATGTACTTCTTCCTCCTCAACCTCTCTGTCATCGACCTGGGCTGCATCTCCACCACTGTGCCCAAAGCCATGGCCAATTCCCTCTGGGACACCAGAGCCATCTCTTACCCAGGGTGTGCTGCACAAGTATTTTTTTTCTTACTCTGTGCTACAGCAGAATTTTCCCTTCTCACGGTCATGGCCTATGACCGCTACATTGCCATCTGCCACCCCCTGCACTACGGGACCCTCCTGGGCAGCAGAGCTTGTGTCCACATGGCAGCAGCTGCCTGGGGCAGTGGGTGTCTCTATGCTCTGCTGCACACGGCCAATACATTTTCCCTGCCCCTCTGCCAGGGAAATGACCTGCACCAGTTCTTCTGTGAAATCCCCCACATCCTCAAGCTCTCCTGCTCACACTCAGACTACCTCAGGGAAGCTGGGCTTCTTATATTCAGTTCTTTTTTAGGTTTTGGGTGTTTTGTTTTCATTGTGTTGTTCTATGTGCAGATCTTCAGGGCCGTGCTGAGGATCCCCTCGGAGCAGGGACAGCACAAAGCCTTTTCCACGTGCCTCCCTCACCTGGCCGTGGTCTCCCTGTTTCTCAGCACTGCCATGTTTGCCTACCTCAAGCACCCCTCCATCTCCTGTCCAGTTCTCGATCTGGTGGTGGGTGTGCTTTACTCGGTAGTGCCTCCAGGAGTGAACCCTCTCATCTACAGCATGAGGAACCAGGAGCTCAAGGATGCCCTCTGGAAATTATGGACAAGATGATTTTCAGAAGCAGTAAACTGTCTTCTTCTGCAAATCACTTATAATGGAGTTCAGTACAGGCCAACCCATTTTCTATAGTTGTTCGTTTTGGTCATTGGTTTGTGTTTTTTTCTTTTGTGTTTTACCTTGTATAATAGTGTCTTCATAGAAATGTTGTTACTCGTGCTATTGCTAATTAAGCATCTATCAAAATTTGTGAGACCCACAGAGTGTCTAAATGAGGACCCATGCTCTCTGCAAAATTAAACTCAATAAAGAACATTCCAGCGATTTCTTCACCCAAGATCTTTTTTCTGAGAACTCCCTTGGAGATGTAGGGTCGGTGCTTGGAGATCTAGGTCAGATCCCAGCACAGCAGTCAAGCTCAGCTCTGTAGTTTTTGATAGATTTTCTGGTGAGTATGGGTAGTTTCTCTTGTTTGTTTGGGGGGCAGGGGGGGGTTGGTGGTGTTTTTTTTTTCTTTGTTTTTTTTTCTTTTTTTTATTTTATTTTGTATAATTTATCCAGAAAAAAATGTTTTCCTTTTACTACTTCTAATTAGGCACCTTTACAAATTTGTGAGACCCACAGACTGTAAATGAGGATTCATGCATTCTGTAGTCAGACAAAATAAACAACCTTTCAGCAACTTGTTTGCCCAAGATAATTTATTTTGAGACTATCTCTGGGGCTGCAGAGCACTACCTGTGTGCAGAGGTGGAGGGGAAAGCGTCCCAGCCCCGCAGCCCTGCCAGGGAGCACCAGCCTTGGCCTTTCCAGAGCTGCTCTCGTGGCACTTCCACACTCTCCTCCTGAGCCCTTGCCTTGCTGTAAGGCTGAGTGCTCGGCAGCTCCTCGTCCTGCTGTGTGGCCGCCCTGTGAGCACGGGCAGGGACAGGCACTGGGCGCTGCTCTGACAGAGCTGGCCTCCCTGACAGCACCTCCACCATACCAGGGGGTCTCCTCAGGGCAGGGCCTGAAGGCTTAGGTCTTCTCCCAAAGTTGCTCCCAAGAACATACCCAGGAATATGCCCTGCAAGAGAAACCACCAGTGTAGAGTGTAACTGTGTGAGTGTGCAGGGTGGGGGCAAGCAGCAGTGTCCTCGCACAGCCAGGCCTCCTGGGAAAGACATGAAGGACCAGCAGAGCAGGGACTTCCCTGGGGCTGTCTGTGCTGGACACCCCGGGGAATGTGTCCCAGGGCTCTGGTCAGACACCTAGTGGATAGCAAGCACTGTGTCAACAGCTCCACCCTCCCAGTGAGATTTGCTTCACCTGCCTTGTCCAGTTCATTGCAAATGCCCCCGTGTGCCACCTCACCCTCCCCTGTCCTTATGGCCTCTGCCTTTTATCGCACAGTGTGAGAGAAGCGCCTCTGTGCAGCATCTCCCTGTGCACTCCGAAAGGGTTCTGCAAGCGTGAGCAGCGTTGACCTCCACAGGATGCCATTGCTCACCTTTCACAAAGCGCACAACACGTCTCGGGAGTGTGATGCAGTCAGAGGCACACACACCTCCATGGGTCACCCCTCAGAACTTCCTTCACAGTGGCTTTAAGCACCTCAGAGATAAACAAATGCTCCCAGTAACCAGTGTCCTCCCAGGAGAGAGGGGACATGAAGACCAAAAACATCCCATGGGAAGAGAGGACGAGGACAGTCAGACATCATTAATGGAGTTTCCCCAAATGGGAATGGGGAATATCCCCAACCTTCAGAGAAATCTCTTCCTACTCTCTCTCATATCCTGCCCTTTATTGCGGTTGGGAAAACCCCCCTCATCATGGGGCTGCTGCTGGAAAACTGGAAACAGGCTACAGCTCCACCGCCCTGACTGTGCCCTGACTGGGGACAGCCCAGTCTCTGCTCACAGCAATGTTCGTGCTATCTCCTGCACTTTTGGCATGTACGGAGTGTTTCCTGCTGGTAGACACATCCTACCATACTGGGCTGTATGCCACCCCCTGCTCTCTGCAAGGCTGGAGAACTGGAAGGGTTGACTCCAGGAGACAGCTGCACCTTGCCTTTCTTTCTTGTCCCAGAGATATTTTGGGACCCAACTTTCCTCCCACTTCTTCTATGATTTTGCCCCAATGCTGGGACTGCAGGGAAACCATGGCACTCATGTTCTTTCATGTCATAACCTGATTTTAGATCCAGTCTTCCTCTTCCTGTTCACGCTCCTTCCCTCTGTCTCCACCAGAGCTGCCAGCCAAGGTCACTCTCCTGCCCAGTGTTGACATGCAGAAGGCCTTCTCCATTTGCTCCTCTCACCTCCCTAGTGCCACTGTTTTTGCCAGCACCCTCATCATTGTCAGTGGGATGGCCAGAACAGGCTTCCTGAAATAGTTTAACAAAGCCCTTTTTCACCACCGTCCTCGCCCCTGCTATTTCCACTCATCTACAGCCTGTGGAGCAGGAAGGATGGGGGCTGGGATTCACTGAAGAAAATGTTCAGGAAAGCTGTGAGCTGAGCAGAGAGCCCATTGGAGTGGTGGACCAGAAGGAGGAAATCACTTCTGGTTATTTTCTGAAGTGGCCCTAAAACCACCTGGATAACTGTGTTACATCCTGGGCACTCCTCTGGACGTGTGGGATATTGAGAAGGCTTTTGAGTCTGGGAGATGGAGAAAGCTGGCCAGTGTCCTTGTGAGACCTCTCTCAAACACCTTGGAAAGGCCAGACCGGGGACTTGGGAAAGGCCGACATGGAACCAGTCTTCCAAAAGGGCAGGAAGGAGGATTGGGAGAATGACCGACTGGTCAGCCTCACCAGGGCAGGGGGTACGGCAAGTCCTCCTCCAGCCATCTCCAGGCATGTGAAGCACAAGGAAGAGATTGCAGAACAGGTGTGGGAGGGAAAAGAAGGGGCTGTTGTGCACCTAAACTTTAGCCAGGCCTTTGACATGGTCTCCTGTAGTCTCCTTAGAGCCAGCTTTGTTGGCAGCTGGGCTGATATCCTGCTTTGAAGGGAAACAGAATCTTTTTTTTTTTTTTTCCTTTTTTCTCAGAATTTTTCTTTTCAGTTAGCCCTGTTCTAACTAACTGCATTCTCTGAAATTAGTGGCATATTCTTCTGACAGTTTCTGCTTCTTGCCAGTAAGGTCTGATGATTGTAGTTGATGCCAAGGAACGGTGTGCAGAGAGGCTCCTGCTTTTACTGATTACTATAACACCCATGGGCAACTAAATTTTTTATGATGTGCCACGTTGGAGGGAGAAGTGGAGAAGTGTAGAGAACGCCTCTACGCTACAGGTGCAACCCGTGCCTGTGGGGAGGAGTGGACAGGACAGGTGACCAAAAACTGACCAAAGGGGCATTCCATCCCATCTGCCTCATGCTCGGTGTAAAAGCTGAGGGCTCAAAGGGTCAGCACTCTTTCTCAATGGCCGGTGTCCGAGGGCAACACTGTCTGTTCTTCTGCCTTTGATCCCAGTCTGGTATCCAGATCTGGAATCCACTTCCCATCTGTCACTGAGTCCAGTCTGGGACTTCCCCAGGTCAAGCCAGTGATGTCAATGTCATGCTGAGGGCTTGATACAGTTTTGTATGTATCTCATTAATTATATTTCCTAATGGCGCAGGCACCAGTATGATGGAAATGTTGAGACTGTTTTTTAATATGAAGCAACCAAGAGAAAGAATGAAAGACATAGAAAGAATGAAAAAGTCTTCCTGCAGCTATAAGTGTCAAACATTGTTGGTGGTTTTATCCTCCTTGCTTGTTTTTTTTCTTCTTTTCATAGAATCATATAATTGTCTAGGTTGGAAGAGACCCTTCAGATCATTGAGTCCAACCTTCTACCCTACTCTACAAAGTTCTCCCCTACACCATATCCCCCAGCACCACACCTAAATGGCTCTTAAACACATCCAGGGATGCTGACTCAACCACCTCCCTGGGCAGCCTGTTCCAATGCCCGACCACTCTTTCTGTGAAAAATTCTTTCCTAATGTTCAGTC